ACCAGACGCCAAAGGACCAACGGCGCGCACTGGAATATCGCGCGAGGCGCGCACGACCTTCTCCTCCACAGAGCGCTCCCCAACAATCTCCACATCCATCTCCGACTCCTCGGATTCTTCTTCATCCTCAACCGCAATAGAGGAAGCGGTTTCCTTTGCAGACTCTGCGATAGGGCGCTTGGGCATTGGTTTGCGCGGGCGCGCCTTAGGCGCATCAGTAAGGTTGCGCTTAGCTAATCCACAGCAGTCAGTGGCGCGCGCCAATGAAAGACAATAGGCGCGACTTACAGAAAGTGCAAGCGCGCTTGGAAACATCACAAGGAGGGCACCGTCGACCAGGCGCGCCTCCACAGTCAATGTCCTTGGCAATGCAGGCGCCACAGCGCCGCGCCTTGGTCACAGACATGCGCCCAATGCGCGGCTAGCGCAACCAAACGCGTTAATAGAGAGGCGCGCCAACAGGAAATAGAGAGGCGCACCTTTTTGCTGGCATCAGTACCAGACGCGTCAGTGGCGCGCGCATTGACTTCGGACGCGCCAGTGGCGCGCGCAGCTTGCATGGGAGGCGCCTGAGGAACTGACGCAATCGCCTTCGCCTTCCAATCTTTCACAACCGCCTCAATCTCCTTGCAACTCTTCCGCCCCTGCTTCAACAACTCCGCGCTCTTATCATCCATCTCCAGCGCCACCGCTAACACACCCGCGCGCGTGGAACAGCCGTTCAAGGTTGCCTAGAAATCTTAGGCTACAATAGATCTAGACATGTAAGCGCACTCACCAGCACAGAATACCACTCGCGCAACCACATCTCCTGATCCTCGAGGAGTTCCGCCTTGAGTTCAGGCGCGGACATCACGCATCCTTCCAGGGAAATGAGGATGGAGGCCCAAGCGGTCAAGAGGCGGTCGGTATCGGATTCCGCGCTAGCGTCGTGCATAGGCGCGTCCTCAGGAAGCCCTTGCGCCACTGGAACAGGCTCAGGGGAAGGAGTAGAGTTCAGCATAGCAACGTTGAAAGTAGGCATGATGAAAAACTGATAACAAAGAAGTCAAGAGATCGCGAGAACGCGTCCATCTTCTTATCAACATCTCCTCCGATTACATCATCGATGCTCGCGATCATCAAAGGACGGCCCTACTCTCGCGATCACCTGATCCCTGTCTATCACCACCTCTCTAAGTCCAAGATCCTGCGTTATAGCACTGAGTGGGGACACTCAGAATGTAAGTCCCCAGGAGATGTAGAGACTCGCGCGTCTCAATGACGAATATCCGGCCTTTAACCATACATTCCTATACATTACAGCTCTACTCCTAAGGACCAGTCTCGCGCGCACTCGCGCGCGCCTTATCCGAACTCGCGCGCACTTACGCGCGCCTTACCTACGCACGCGCTATGCGCGCTTCGCGCGCGCGTTCGCGCGCCTCCTCATAGGTCTTCGCGCTATCGTCCGTCCATCCGTCCCATGTCCTTACTGATTCGCTGGTGCGTTATTTCTATCTTATCCATTGAACTAATAAAATCTTCGGTCCGACATCCGCGCTACTTATGGAAAGTTTATTTAAACTTAGTTATAATTAGAGTTGATATGGTTACTCGGTTCGGGAGCGCGCTCGGAAGCGCGCCTTCTCCATTCTTAAATACAGAAGGGTTTCCTTTAGTTCTGGTACTTACTTTTCCCTTATCTTTGTGTACTGGAAAGTGAATAGATCACCTCCCCACTAGTTATCTGATCATATCCTCCTGTCAATCCTCCACCTTTGCACTCACTCCTCAGTAAGATCTTGCCTCTAACGCTTTAGGCGCGCCTTCGCTTCGCGCGCGCGCATTCTCGGACCTCCCGCTCATGCGCACATCTCGCGCGCCTTCGCCTCGCGCACGCGCGCCTTCGCGCGCGTTATCTTCTCGCGCCTATTAGCGCCCGCCTAGCTCACAGAGTTTCCCTCCACTTTATTTCGAGGAACTTCTCTCAGTGGTTGTCCTTTGGGTCGAGTCGTTGTCTCGTATCCCGGTCTTGCTGTTGAGCACCCCTTTTGTTTTAAGTGTTTTCACGTATAGTCAAGATTCCTCATCTACAGCGTATGTTTCCTTTATTCTCATCAAAATATATGTATAACTCGGAATACCAGCTGCACTCACCATTTTCGCATTATAGTGGTATATAGCTCCTGATGGATGGTCCAACTCTTCCCAATCACCGTGCGTTTGAGACCTGTCAAGATAGCGGTTAAGTTGATATTGTGCTAAATGGAAGTCACGAACTGAGCCCAATCAGTCTGCATGGCCTCGATGTTATAGTCGTGATGTGGAATGACGTCCCTATCAAACAAAGCCCGAGTCAGTACCCGATGAATTTATCCTAGTAATGATATACACTCACGGCATTGTTATCTGCGTGTATTGCCGGAGTTGCGTGGGCCAGACAGGGACACTATGCTCCTGCAACTGTATCTGCTGGTTGATTGTGGGGGATTGCATGAGGTACAAGTCTTCAAGCTTCAAAGCTGAACGTACTGTCGTGTCCATGGTTCAACTTGTCAATGTTGTTCACACAATGTGATTTTGTATTTTTAAATTCACACCATTTTATCGTAATAGCCCCGCTAGGAACACACTGCAATGCTGATTTGACTAATTTAGTCACGATAACAATATATAACACTAGTACAAGATAACACTGTAGAACAAGCGCAGATGCGTCACCAGAAGGAAAATTAGATGAGCATTGTACTAATACTAGTGGTTGCTGGATATCAGATGTGTTCTATGTTTAGCACAGAAGTAGTACCGGGTATGAAGCTGTAAAGCAATGGAAATGGTAGTTCTAGTTGTAGCTCATCAATGATATATAGTACATGTGTGATGATTGGCGAAGATGGTACAGATTGGCCCAGTCAGTCCGCCAGTGAAGATGGTAGTAGTAGTACAGATGGGCCAGAGTCCGTGAGTCCGTCAGTGACGACGGGCAAAGCTTTGAAGATCTGATTGGCATAGCTAAAAAAAGTTGCTGGATGCTCGACGTTTTGAATGAAGACATACACTTACCTGAAGTGTTGACTTCACTTTATTTGCCGCAGCACGGAGCTTTTCAACTACCGTGGCCTGATGCAGATGACGGCAGGATGGCCACGTAATGACCGATTTGGTAAACTGCTGCATAATTTGAGTAAGCTGCCGGAAGCATTACACTACGTGGTCTTACCAAATTGAACCACTTATCTACTTCCGTCTGGATAGTATCTGTTACTTACTTGGAGGCAGTCATACAATTTTACGTTACTTACCACTACTTTTCCATCTTTCACTAGCAATGGTCCATGAGCACCTGTATGTGGTACGCGAGCCATTTATATGTTTGTATGATGTGTGGGGGATCGGCAAAATTGATTCAGGGGCGTGGTACCTTAAGATCGCCCGAAGTAGTTGAGTTTGGTCGTAATCAGATCTTATAACACTGTGGCAAATAAAGATAAACAATTCAACATTTGCCTAATTAGGCTGTATGAATCTCCGATTCAAATTAGTTGGATGACATCGACCTTTGACCCATCATCTCAATATTGCTAGCCCCTCCTCGTCATCGTTCTATTTGGTGCAATCATCTTAAGCCTGGTATGTTGTGACTATCCAGGAGAAGGTGGTATTTTGGGATACTGCTGTCTTATTTGGTGTGTTACTCTTTTCCCCTTATTTCTTTTTCTTCTGGACTCTAAATATCTCCTCTTCGCCTGACTGCGCCATCAAGAACCTCCCAGTGCCCTTACAGCCTCCCCGGAACTCTCTTTTCACCTAATCGCACCCTCCAGCGCCCACTTTATTCTGCTTTCGTTCATGCCAACTATCCTATATCCAACCTCCCGCTATCTTTTGAATGCTTTATGATAACAGTATTCAAAGTAGATACCTGTGAGGCTCAGCGCCTCTGTCTCTTGTGCCTCTCCCACATGCCGCGACCGCCCTGTACACCTGCGCATGCAGTGTGCCACAGCTCTCCTCAGCCCACTGCACCCTCCCCCTGTTACCAAATTACGCACTCTCTAGTAAGCTCGACCTCTTGTCTCGAATCCTTATTTCGTTAAAGACGTCAAAACAGGCCAAATAGATTTCATGTGGTTATTTTTTTGTTCTCTATTCACATATAGCTATATCTTTGTTGTCGGTCTTCACTGGGATTCATACCTTGAATGTAGATAATATCTGGTGTACTACTGTATATCTGCTATCCAATAACATGACATGGCTATGCGCTGATAGATGCTATCAAACAAAGTGGTGCTTCAGTCCATCAAGCCCCGATCACTATGCTATGATCAGGTGTAATTGTCAGAGTTCATCTCAGCGGTACACTGAATAGCACCTTGTTGAATACATTGATGACGATCATACATTGCTCAGCGTGCGAGTAGTTAGTACATATCCTACATCTTGTGTGACATGAATGGGAGTATCATACACCTATGCGACCCGATACAGCAATGTTCCCGAAGTTAGAGGAAGCATCTATCGTCAGCTATCTCCATCGTCCTCGCGTAATGGATGGATGTGAACTCTGCATAGGGAAGATCAGGTAAATTGACCTCCACCTGCTTGATGGGACTACAATCTGCTACAGTCCTTGCTCATTTCTCATATGCAGACACTTTAGGGGCCTGTATCTTGGGGTCCATGGGCAATACATTCGGAGCCCTGAATGTCGATGTGCATCAAAACCAATGCAGAGATCATGAAAAGAACACTGACCTTAGGAACGTCAACCCAATCATTGTCTTCATAAATGTGGGATACTGCTTCAGGTTCGCGTACATATGTGTGATGGCAGCTAGAATGATACAATACACGGCACCCGGTTTGCGGCCACGGGTCTTCAGGGGTTGCCCAAGATGAAACGTGTGGTAAATCTGATACAGTGATGACTTTATTGCTACAAGCAACGACTAAGAAACACTTACTATGGTAAGCAAAGTCACAGCAAAATCTTTTGCTAATGCCGAGTTCTCCCCTCAAACTTCTTGAGGAAAAAGGTCAGCAACCCTGCCATCGCGGGTACCCTCAGCCAAGCCGATCACGGTTTGGAATGTTGACATCCACATGAGTTCCCCGAACATATACAGTTCCACAAGTTCAGCAATAGCTCGTTCGATCTAGGTCACCATAAGTCATGATGATATCACATCGGCCTTGCCACTTACGTCCTGTTGGTCACTCGAGTTAAAAGAATCAAATAATGCTTTGACCCTCGCCTCCTGTTCTTGAACTGTACCACCACCAGAGAAGTTGTCGAGTCTGGTGCATCCCTGGACTACCTTATGCATATCTGACAGTCTATTCTTGATGGTACCAGAAAACTGCCCAGAATGTTTATCAGTGAATGAGAATAAGACGAGAGGAAAGCGTACAAGCAAATGAATGATGTCCCATCTGATGGACGTTCCACTGGGAAAATGTGCAACTGCACGCTGTAAGATTGCTGACCATGCTATGAAAAATGTCTCATGGAATCGAGGAAAGGTGCTCACCCGGTTCATTGACCAATTCTTGCAACGTTGTTTGATCATGAGCTATTGCGCTCAAGAAGCTATTGGTGAGTATGACACGTTGTTCCTGCTTTGTGGTGGTGAACAGGTTCCCCAAGCCAAGCCAGAAAGTACCATAGAGAAAATACTTCATTAAGTAAATTGGGCATCTCCAACAAGTGCTGTTCATTGCGGCTTTGATTGCTGACCTGTCGTCATTATTAATTGCAATGTCGACGCCTGTCCATCTCAAAGTGTCATGAAACACCCTTGTGATTGTAGGAGCGAGCTGCCCAAATAATCCGCCATCCATTTCTGTGTCTTGTGGAGGGATGACCGAATCTTCAGCGTAACCAAGCGAAGCTACGGGATAATCTTCCTGCTCATATCCATAATCAAAGTCACAAGGCCAAGCTGGCCCACCAACTGATAGGAGGGCAGGAGGCACAAACACAGAAGTCAGTTGGTTGTTTGGTTGAAAGTGGGTGGGAAGAGATGACACATTGGTCACTATGGGAGGCGGGAAGCCATATGGGAATGGCGCCGGGTTGAATTGGATGATGTCATTTAACTTGCTGAGCTATAGAAATGAAAATCAGTCTATGGAACACTGCACACTAGCATGAATGAAGGTAAAACTCACTTGCCACACTGGAGTAATCATCCCTGCCCCATTTGGCCGGCAAAAATGGGCGTCAATAGCCCGAAGGAAATCACCATCACCAAACTATGTTCATCCTGTCAGGGTGTTATTTCCAGTTTGATGTAGCTCTCACCTGCTTTTTGTATATTGTATGAAACAGTGTTTCATCGACGTGAGGAATTGCGAGTGCGCCGACTACGGGTAGAACACCATCTAAACTGTTGACCGACACATAATCTGGACACTACAGAATGATAAGATGAAGTTACTGATTTTGAGGATGGCTCACATATATCGGAGAGACCTGGCGGTAGTTGTGCGCCAGATAAGCACTGAGGACAAAACATTCTGGGCCGTTGAAATCGACGAAAGGGTGCTGAAATGACAAGTTAGATATAAACAACAGGGTGAATAGACGAGGTGAACTTGGGCATTCTGGAAAAAAGGCATCAGTGGATATCACACGCATAATAAGAAGTCGGCATACAGGTGGTGGTATAACCTGTAGTACACAGCCCAACTGAGGTGTGTACAGATAAACTGGAGCCGTGGGCTGTACTATTCCCCTCGAGTTACATCAGTGAGATGGAGTCAACTCACGATGTATATCCATGGAAAAGGTGGTGTACTTTGAGGGACTGACGAGCAAATTCCTCAGTTTTAAATAGGCAGCTGCATAGTAGAGATGGTAGCCAACTGCTTGATGATTGAGATGGGCAAATCACGATAGCTAGACAGAATGGAGTAAGGTTGCGCTAGAGATCAAAATGACTGAATTGAACAAAGTGAAGGTCGCATTATGGGCCAGATCGGTATCAAGGTTGCACCAGGAATCGGAAATGATTGAATTATGCGCTTAACAAAATTAAATTCGGTAGCTTTGTCATTATCGTCAGTTTGATCGTCACGATGTTTGAGCATCATAATATTGCAATGAGGCGTCCTTGGATTGATAACGTCTTGTGCCCTCCTAACATTGTAAGTAGTAAAGTTGAATTTGGCGATGTTGTGATGATAGATTCTGTTACATTTGAAGAGAATCGTGTCGTGTTCTTGGTTGAGAGAAGCTGACTTGTCCCCCGGATTGAGATGATCCATAATATGGACTTTTAATTGGAAAAAGAAGTCCTGGGGCACAGCTTAGAATAATGTCTATGAAGTGAGAAGTCACTTACCTTCATAGCAGGGTCATGCACGTGGCTACGGAGGTAGTGACCAATATCATCATAATTCTTCTCACTTTGGCCAATATAATGATGTACTTCAGGGTCGTTCGTCATTTCATTCACTTCTGTACAAAAGTCTTTTCCTTGTTGCCGTTGCTTGATGTGGCGCAAACGTGTCTGATGATGCTCGATCTGAGTTAGCTGGTGAACGAAGGCCTTTCGATCAGTATGACGATATCTGTCTTTTGACGTATGATGCTCTAGTTCTCCCTAATGAGAAATTAATTTAGGGTAAGGAAGAGCAGCGAGCCATGACATACTGGTTTGGTGCTGTACGAATCCATTGTTCCAAAATGATGGATGGAGGCCACGTAATCTCCTAGCGCGTGAAACTTGTAAGTTTGAAAATTAAACAACTTTTTCCTTTGCAGCTGCTTTGGCACAGGTATGTCCCGGGACTGCTCCAGACTCGCTTTTCCTTTTCCTTTACCGATGGCACCTGGCTCAGATTGTGGAGCCGCAGTCACTTGCCCGACATTATTCACCTTGCCTGTCTCTACCCGTTTGGCCGCATCCTTGGCCTGTCGACGAGATTGTGCGTCGACTTCACAATCGAGTTCTTGGGTATGATATGCAGAGCAAACTTTCGCTTTAAACTCACGAAATTGTTCGCCAAGATCCATTGTCTGTTGGTCGAGAATCTCTAGGGTGAGGTCAGAGTGCATGTGAAGTTTCGCCAATCCATGCCAGTGGGCCATGATGA